GGGGGTCAAGTCGAATGGCGGATTAGTGGGTGGTTTGCTTGTGGATTTTTGTTTTTGTCTGGGCGCTGGCTGTAAGAAAAGCTTTGGTGGACTGTTTGACGTACGCAACGTAGCGATCGCCAGCTTTTATGGCAGATTATTAATACCAAAGCACGATATCCTGTACCGCTGCTGTTGCTGCTATGCTCTTGATGACTTTGTAAATACTTTATTGTCGACCCATCGTTGCCTGCAGTGCTGTAGTCATGACATTGATATCATGTGATGTCTTAGCACGGACAGAGCCACCTGGCATATTAGTTAGTTCGCTCAAGAAACGAGAACGAGGTTTTAAACACCTCCTGGGCCTCTTCGACTCTTGGAGGCTTCTGGATCCCACATACGGTCCGGTCATTGCATACCACCACCGACTGTGCTCTTCCTGAACACCTCAGGGCGCAGAGGCGCTGGGGAAGAAGGAACAAGAGCAACGCCTTCTCCTTGTTTCGTACAGCCCACACGTCAGTGCGCCATACGACTACATCACACTGCGGGTGGTCCAAGCAGAGGTACGGGCGAGATGCATCTCCGCCTCCAGCACGAGGTCGCTCCACGCGCCGTCCAAGCACCCCAGGGAACGGTTTCAGTGACCTTCCTGAAATACGTCACATTTTAATTGATGTGGATTTTTCCTGTGGGATTCAGCAATGAATTCCAGCAACGGTGGGAAGGGACGGCGCCACAAATTTTGAGGTCGGTGAGGAGGCAAGAGTTTCCAGGAACATCCTGAAATAAATGGGACCTCTTTACAAAGAAGCCTCCTGATTGGTGTCGTGCTCAAGGGGACCGGCACGGAGGGGCGTGCCTACTAATCACATTGCTACATCCACCGTATCAAAGTACGTCAATGTCCATAATTCAAAAGATAAAATGGCGTTCTGACATCAACCCACGACATTATTATCCTAAGATCGGGCCTCTTGTTGTAGAGAAGGACATTCTGATGCATACAAGGGCCTTCTAATCCAGAACGGCATGGTTCTGATTCACGAAGAAGCCTCCAAATCCGACTAAGAGGTCTTACCATCCCGTAACAGGGGATCCTGGTTCAGGCCGCGTTCATCTGATGCCCTACAGGGCCCCCGTGGTCCGGAAATAGGGCTTCCTGAATGTAGGGCGTGTTCTGCAACCCAGAACGGGGGTCTATTAGTTGGTAATGGGTGCTTCTCGAGCCAGAAAACGGGCCTCTTGAACATATAATTGGGCCTACAGATCGAGAATATGCGTTAGCTTATTCGTAAATGTAGCCTTATGATGCAGAAAACGGGCCTCGATATAGGAGGGCGTCTTTTGAGCCCCATTTGCTACTCTTCAGCTTAGTTCTGGGGCCTCCTTCAGCTGAACTTCGGTAATCTTCAGGTAGCTGCAATGCCTTTAGTTTGGGAAACAGCGACCTCTTAAAAAGTTCAATGGGGCAAAAACTTGAGCAACCGATCATTTGGCATCAATACTTCGATGAACCTTGTCAGATCGCTGAACTATGGCAGGTCAAGGCCAGGCCATGGCTGTCAGCGAGAGCAGTTGCTAATAAACCGCCCAAGGTGATTCGACAACGAAGTGTTGAGCGAAACCATACCTCTACGGGATGTTTAATTTTACAGTTAAATTTGGGTTTGTGACTTTTCCATTCAACTTCATTCAGGTTTAACGGAAAGACCGAGTTTAGAACAAAATTGCTTTTCCAGTGAGGAGATTATGTGATGAGATAGTTTTCGATGCTTAGTTCGAATTCCATGCTCGCAGTGACGTCTTAGATTATATGGATTGTATGAAGATCAGAGGGGGTTTGTAGCCTAAAATGACCCCGATCAGCTTCTTTGTGAGAAGCATACCTCCTAGCCTTGTTCTTGGCACTAATTGAACTTCATATCTCAAGGTAATCTGGTTGTTTTTGGTCAGCATGACATCCCCAAGGTGAAATAAGTTGATTTACCTGAAATGAACACCAGTGACCATTTGCTTAGAAGAGGACTCTCGGTTCAACATGGTTGCATGAGGAGGCATGACGACGCTTTCAACACGGATCCGGAATGTCACCTTGTTTGACATTATTTGACCCAAAGACCCTATCTCGGTATCTCGGGATTTCAGATACGCCAGTTAACGTATAGAATCACATGCTCTAACAATTTGATATCACCAAGCTGTAGTAATTTCACGAGGTCTCGCTGGTCGAATCGACCCCGCACCACCCACTACGCCCAAGCACGTAATATCCAGCCAGCCACCTGGCCGCGTGTGCCCAAAATTTCGTGGTCGTCCTCACTGCCGAAGCCCACGTTCAGGATGTCCAGCCCCGCTAACGCTGCAATGCAGTGGCTGAACACTCCGAACTCATCCCAGCTAACAGTCTCACGCGAGCGAGAGCAGCAGCCGATCCGCTGAAAGGTCAGATGTTCTTGTGGTCCCTCTTGTGGTTCATCATCGATGTTAATAACGAGAGGCCTGACCAAAGACGTTCTCGTGGGGTTTTATAAAAGAAGTGTTCCGCATTTTTATGGCGTCTTGAACTGAACTAGCCATCTCGAAGGTCACTCGGTGCAATTTATACCCCTGCTCTTCTTGAGACCTAAACCCTTGAGTTTCTGAGCTACGCGCCCACGGAGATGTGCGAACTACTTTGTGCAAGCTATTTCAAGGTTAATGAGGCATCAATGACGCCATAATAACGTCATTGAAATCTTATCATTCCGCTGGCCATGTGGCGTTCGATATCAAGAAAAATCAGTGAGCTGGAATCTCTTTTGAACTAGGATGAGAATGAAAAATTTAATCGCAAAAAGACTGTGCGTGAGCGAAAATCATCAAGTCGCAAAAGATGGAACTTATGAGCTAGTGACTGATACTTCATCAAACAAAGACATCTATTTCAAGTTCGCACGGATACAATATCATAAACCTGACAAAACGGTTTTGTTTTTTAACATCTTAGGCCATTAGAGTGAAACAGAATACATTAAAGCAGAGCAATTTCATGACAGTGTAATGAGCATGAAAAATTATTAACACCAATGATTTGATGTTCCACTTTTCACCTCCCTTCCACAGCACTTTTAGCACGAAACAAAGCAAAGGAATTCAATAACAAAGTTACAACAGACAATTCCACAAACATAAAACACTCACACAAAAACATTGGGCTCCTACACATCAGCCCATCACCAAGTCCAACACAATAGACATACCTCTGGCTTCTGTTCAGATGGGGTCAGGAAAAACAAGCATGTTGTCACTGTTTCTTACAAAATATCGATGCTTACTTCCATAAAAGTAGCCTAACTATGCCTAACCTAAAGATGCCTTACTTCATCTCATCCTGTCTAACCTGTTTGTATCACAACAGCAGTTGTGAGTTACTGATTCTTGCACAGCTCCTGTTGCCACTTGCCATGCACTTAACCAACTTAACCTTACTTAGAGTAGTCTATATGTTGAACATCATCTCAGCTCACCTCTCTGTTGACAGCAGCACTTGTGATAGAAACATGATAAAGCTAATTTGTTGGCTAGTTTCAACCCGCATTTTCATTCAGTTCATTTGTGCATGCTTGTTGATATCAGACAAAGTTGACAACACACAAAGGAATCACTTAAAATCACTTTGAACAACTTATTCTGATTACCATGGTCAACTTATGTCAAGGGCAATGATGGGTATGGTCCACAGAACAATCTCTCTTCATCAAAAGTCACATTACTTTTAAATGACCACGCCAGTTAAAGATATGCCAAGATACTTAGGACCTTAGGTCACACCAAGGTTAAAACCAACCTGTTTTATTACTCTACGGCTTGCCGTGTGGGAGGGTTTCTGGTGCTTCTTTCGTGTTTATTGACAGCAGGAACCGCATAATACATCTTCCATGGACTTCTTAGAGGTCAGAATAGGTCATTGACCTAAAATAACCGAGGTCAACAGTTTGTTTTAGGAAAATGCTGCCAAGCGTAATCTTTGTCGCTTAGTCAATTGCAAAACTGATAGCAATCTTTATGCTTTTGGCTACCTTGACCTTAAAAAGTTCAAACAAGGTCACAGACCTTAAATGGGAGTGTGACCCTGCTTGGAAACGGATATCTAAGTTCTGAGGGCACTTTCGAGACCAACCTGGAATTTGTCCATGTTTGACCTTTCTTGGCACAAAGGTCATGACCTGGGAACCTGAAATTTTGAATTAAGTGAGTTCACGAACAGGTCAACGCACCCTGTAAATTTTGTGTCTCTAGCTTTCTTAGTTCCCGAGATGTCAATGGGGGGGGGTCAAATTGACCCCCTCCCCCACCCGAGCGAAAGGTATCTAGCTGGCCACCCGGGCGCGTGTTAAGAATCGGCAGGGTATCCTGACTCTATGAATTGTCTCAAGTTTTTCATAAATCCATTTTGACCCTTGAGGAGCGTCGTAAGTCTCCTGCATGGGAGATCTTAGGGTGTCTAGAATCATCCGATGGGTGTGTTTTCAAGGGTCAAAAAATGACTCCGAAAACTCCAGTGTTGAAGCAAATATATCCACGCGTTGATAAAAAATTATTCTCGCTATGGTGCCCAATGCACGTGACGGAACTTTTCCAAGATCTTCCATGGCTGTCATGCATGCTTTCCCCACGTCTTCTACTTATCCAAGCAATGCTACATTTTTTTTCAAAATCCCGGGACGACCGCTGTGTTGAGATTCCACCAGCACACCATTTTGCGCTTGACGTCCAGATAAACACATCATTACAGGTTTGCCAGGATGCATCACCGTTATATGCATTGTCTCAGCCTCAGACTAGATCGTACGGTGAGCCTCCAGCCATCGTCCAGCCGCCCTGCCAGATCGTGGCTGCCCTCCACTGACCTTGTCCGTGTAAAAGTGTAACGCTGCGGGGATGGTGAGTGTACGCCTCGCCAAATATCAGCTGGCCAGTCGGAGCGGTATATAAGGACCCGCTCACCGGTGCACTGCATCACTAGATCCCTGCACTCCGCAGAACACACACCCTACTCCGAGATGAAGCTGGTGAGTACGCGTCCTAGTACAAGCCATTCCATCGCTGCGTTTTCTGAGAGCAGTAATCAGATAACCTCACAAGGATATGTGTCCTTTTGTAAGGCATTTCTGGACACCAGGAGTTGGTACATCCTAGTGTCCTGAAAGGGGACCAAAGTATGCCTTGGGACAAGGCGGTAATTTGGCACAAATTCCTTTTCAAACTGACCAAGACTACCATAAATTTGCACATTACTGTAAAGCATCACTTGTAAAAGTAAATAATTCGTTATGTTCTGAGGACAGTTGGTTTTGTTTCAGTTCATCGTTGCTGTTGTCCTGGCCGTTGCTGCCGCTGACAGGCAGCCTGCTCCACCTTCGTACTCTGCCCCTGCTCGGCCCTCGTACTCTGCCCCTGCTCCGCCCTCGTACTCTGCCCCTGCCCAGCCCTCGTACTCTGCCCCTGCTGCCCCCAAGTACGCCCCCAAGGTGATCGAGATCCTGAGTCAGGAGTTCGACCTGCGTGACGACCAGTCTTACGACGCCAGGTGAGATAAATAAGCTCTATCCCACCAACGTCTTCACAATTCTTATCACCTGAAGTTTAAAGCAGGTCATGTAAAGAAGTCCGTATTTTGAACTTTGGTTTTTCAACCTTCGGCACAGAGTTACTCTCATGAATGCTCGTATGCATCGCATGCAGCTTTCAATTTTCCGAGTGCTTTTCCCCTCTAAATTTAAGCTATTACAAAACGGACTGTTACTAACACCACCACATTTTTAGCTGGACCAAAGCTTTGAGTTCAGCACGAAATAAGTGTCATTTAATCTCAACATGATATCTATTTTGTAAGAAAATATTTTCCATCCAAGCAAAGGCATGCGGCTGTTGGGCTCTATCCCACTTTCGGTGTCACTCATTAGGGAAAGCCACTGCTGCATTCACTTTAGGCTGTCCAAATAGTTCGAAGGGTGAAGCTGCCACCCCCCTCCCCTCAGCTCCAAAAGTGTATGTCAAATGTAACGCCTTATCTTAAACTTGCACATCAAGCCAAAGTGCGTTCAATTAAACCGCGAGATCTTAAAATTGACGAGATGCCTAGCATAACGCAACCGCTGGATATTTAGTGTTTAACTACCTTATTAAAGTTCCTCCAATTTCGCCCGGATTTTTGCCCACCTTAGCGCGTTCTGTAATAATTCTACCCTTTTCACCAGCTACCAGACAGAGAATGGCATCTACGCCTCCGAGTCGGGCCAGGCCGTGGCTGGCTACGGAGATGAGCAGGGCTACGCCGTCCAGGGCCAGTACAGCTACACCGGCGACGACGGTGTCAGCTACACCGTGTCGTATGTGGCCGACGCCAACGGCTTCCAGCCGCAGGGTGACCACCTGCCGACCCCCGTGCCCACCGAGTACCCGACCCCGGAGGTGCCAGCGACCCAGGCCAGCTACCAGGCTGCTCCTGCCCCCAGGTACCAGCCTGCCCCTGCCCCTAGCTACCAGGCTGCCCCTGCCCCCAGCTACCAGGCTGCCCCTGCCCCCAGCTATCAGCCCGCCCCCGCACCCCAGTACCAGGCCAGATATCAGTGATTATAAGTCAAGTCCTTTTCTGTCCATCGTTGGGATAAGAGCAGTATACACCGACTACGCTTATATGTTTGTCTATTTATTGTGATGTATGGAATGGGTGTAATATTGCGTTGTATATATTGCGTTGCGTGACCGTTTCGTTTCAATACATGTGCATTTCCCAAGAAGTACCTCATGTTTGTTGGAGATGAAAGCCACATACAGCCTATCGGAGCGCGCCATATGAACGGGCGCTGGCCGCGGGCTGTCCTGTTTGAGGAACCCTGTTGTCCAGAGGCTGGAGTGTATTCCTCTGGAGGGCGGGGGGGGGGGGACGGGCAATGACAGTAGAGAGGAAAGGTGGTAGCAATTGCAGTTCCTTGGTGACGGCGCTGTTTTCATGTTCGGGAATGGGCTTTTGTCATTCGCGTTGGATATAAACATCCAGTGGTGTGCGATGTCGATACGCATATGAGCATTGTGTTAACGAAATGACCGATTGTGTTCAGGTTTCATAAAATGACCGAGTTCGTTCTGAATTAAAGAAATCTCATGATTGCTGAAATCGGTGATGGGGCGTTCCAGGTCATATGTTCTGTCCATTTCAATCCTGCGCTATTTCTTAAGGTTTTTTTCTGAAATGACTGAATACATAACTTACACATGCGTACCTTACACAATGTATACAATCACGTTTGTGAGGAGTCGACCAACAGAACCTTCGGCTCTCATTCTCACCCTCAAAAGGGGCGAAACCATGGGTTAGTTGTTAATTAACCGTTGTCAAGGATTATTATTGGGAGGTTTTAGGTATATTCAAGTAATGAGAGAGGTCTAAAGTTAAAGTAGTACACCGAGTGATACTCGCGCGTAAAAGAAAACAGCTCGCAACCCAACAAGGTTCCCGTGCTCGACGTCTTAAAAGGTAATTTTAAAATGCCCTGATGGAGTCAAATAATTACATACTCAGAATTTATGACCTGCACAGCCGCTGCACTGTTATTTGTGCATCTTTGCACATACTTTTCGTGCAGCATAATAGCGAGCATCACGGGTGTCAGTTTTTGTAAGTTATAGGGGGGGACGGAGGCAAACGAATACCAAAAACTTACTGCCAGTTTTTCATTAAGTTTGGCCCATTCTGTTTTGATGTGAGCCAATAGCTGCTTTAAATTACGGTACAACTTATGAAAGTCTGTTATGTAAGGAGCATAGTTATAACGCAGAAGCCACGTGGCAGAAAGATAAAAAATAGTCATTGTGCGTTGGTCAAATTTACCTGCCTTTTTCTAGTCTTGTAGCAAAAACCACTGGGACGCCATGCCAAGCTTTTGGGGCTCAACCCAACATTGGAGGACCGGCGTGGGGGGGGGGTCCTAACATGGAATACAGATCAACATCCGGGACGAGCATCCTGGAGTGCGTGATGCTTCCACAGCTTGTGTTCATGGCATTGATGAGCACGAATGCTTCATGACGAACTCATGTGCACAACGAAATAAAAAGATGTGAAGATGGGAGCAAAAGAAAGATGGAAATGAAACGCTTCAGCTTTGGTCGATCACTTTATTCCTGACCAGCTTTTTTCTTGACTTTGTCAATATCTGTCGTCAGTACTTTGTGCGTTTCAGAGAGTGTCAATGAATTGTACTAGTAACGTGCAATGTTTCTTAACAAGGTCCTGTATTCGTAAACTGTCCTTCATAAGCTGAGCGTGCGATAAATCTTTTAAAATCGCATAAGTATTTTCTTTCAGATTCTTCGTCAATTCAAAGGTAAAATAATGATACGATGGGGTAACACATGTAAACATTAATAATGGCTGGGCTGCAACTTGCAAATTTGAGGACACAAACAATTAACTCGTGAAATATGAAGAAGTACATAACTGTTCACCACTCGGTGAATGTCATGTAAGCTGTCGTATCAACCTACATGTGCGCGTGAAGGGATCTGAGCTCAAGATGGACGTAACGTTATGGGCTGTGGGTTAATGTGGCTGGAGTATTTGGTAGAAGATGATATTTACTTCAATGTCGTTTATCCTTTCAATGTTCTGATTTGGGGGGGGGGGGGGTTCAACAGATGAATCGCCGCTACTATATCACTTAATGTGCATGTGGTGCGACCTGTTCCGGGAACACCTTGTCTACCTTGGGAACGGAAGGCAAATGTTGTTAAAGCGAATGTTTTCACATTTGAAAGCAGTGAAGCACACATCAGATTGGGTGCAACAAGTTCGGTTATAACGATAAGTATGCCTTTACGTAGAAAAACACCTGTTTTGGACAACATAATTTCTCTGTTCAGTAAATATGGTCCTCGATACGCCATTGTTTATTACGTCATTGTACCTTGGACAACGTTGATTCAGAGCCATTTGACGACCATATACCTGGCAATAATGCTCACGAACGCCAGATATCAACGACTCGACCATCCTAGTTTTCTCGGTCTTGATTGCCGCATGGCTCATCGAACGGCAGGATTTAAATGACCTCGCTATGAGGTCATGAATGCCAGGGTAAACTCGAAATACTGTCCCCAGTTTCACGGGCGTGTAGCTCAGAAACTAGACGAATTTAGGTTTTGAGAAGGGCAAGGCTGTGAACTGCACCAAAAGGTCGTCCAGATGGCTACTTCAGTTAAAAACCCCATTCAAATGTAGAACACTCCCTTTAAAAAGGGTAGGTCTGTGGAACAGAGCATGGCTGCGAACTGCACTAAATGATAAAAATGGCTAGTTCAGTTCAAAACCCGATACAAATGTGGAAACATTCGCTTTAACGGCTGGGCTGCTGCTGTTGATCTTTGGATGGCTATGCAACGGCATGGCAGTCCGGAAGACCCTGGTCACTGTGCTGTACCGGCTTTGTGGTTTAGTTACAATTCAAAGACCAGGAGGTCAACTGGCGGAGTGCATGATGTTGCCGCCGTCAGCCCAGTCCACTTCCATGAGCAAGGATTAGTGCCTTCGGCTAATGCGATATGGCGTCCCCCCGTTAAAATTCATGCAAACTGCTCACCTCGCACCCGAGTATGCAACTGCCTCATCCACGTTTGTTTCAGCTGTAATTGTAGTCTATGAACGACGTAGATTGAAAAACGTCTTGAAGAGTGACCGAAGGCGATTTCATACCGCCGTCAACGTCTAGTTGTGTTGTCAGGCCCGCAAAGGTAGTCCCGGGCTTGGTACTGGATGGAGGGTCCCGGACTCGATACTGAATGGCGAAGCCAATAACTCCTTCCTTCGAGCGTGGGTCCCAAGCAGATGCCACTTCTGGCAAAACCATTTTCAGTTGGATCGGCATTCCACTGATGAATCAGCGTTTGCAGTGGTGATTGCAGAACGGTTACAAATGCAGACGGAACCCGTTGAACTGTTGCAGAAATGGCACATTCTGCAGGCCTCGGGGTGGCTGTGTCGACATGGTGTGTACGTATCCATTGAGCAGCAGTACTAACCAGAGTTCAACAGGCCCGCGCCTGTTGCTCAGAGTTCCCAGTGTTACGTCGAACAAGGGTCTTCCCAATTTAAACAGACTGGTTGATAATCATTGGCATTAGCATTGGCAGTCATTGACAATTAAACAGACAGATTAATAATTCGACATCACCAGCTTCGTGCAGACCACAGGAGACCTAAAATAGTATAGCTGAACACATAACAACTAACTTGGATTGACCAGTTCGGATCGCCAATAAAAGATCAAAGTGTCGTGCCGGGGCCTGGGCTAGCGTCAGTCCAGATCCATTATCCGCACTCTAAGCGAGGGCAGAGCCACCTGGTATATTAGTTCGCTCACGAAAGGAGAACGAGACTTTGAACAGCTCTGGGCCCTCTCCAAGACTTGTCGGAGGTTTCCAGGATCCCACATACGGTCTGTTCATTGCATACCACCACTTACTGTGTTTTCGCTGAGCACCTCAGGGCGAAGAGGTACTGGGGAAGAACGAACAGGAGCAGCGTCTTCTCCCCGTCTCGTACAGGCACACGTCATTGCCCCCCACAACTATGGCATACTGCGGTTTGTCCAAGCAAATGCACGGCTGAGATGTATCTCCGCCTCCAGCACGACGTCGCTCCACGTGCCGTCCAAGCACCCTCGGGAACGCTTTCAGTGATCTCTCTGAAACACATCACGTTTCTGGTGTACCCACCATTAATGTGGATTGTTGATGTGTGACGTAGCTAATGACGTCCAGTGACGTCTCTGTGGGCCAGGGTGACGTCACGGATTTTGAGTTCGGAGAGGGGACAATAGCTTCCAGGAACGCCCTAAAATATATGGGACTTCTTCACAGAAAGGCCTCTTGGGTGGCGTCGTATTACATTGTAGGGATTGTATGAAGATTAGAGGAGATTAATAACCTAAAATAAACCCGATCAGCCTCATTTTGTGAGGAGCATACCTCCTAGCCTAATTCTTGACACTAATCAGATTTCAAAATTCAAAACAATCTGATTGGGTTTTGGTCACCATGACATCCTGAAGGCGAAATAAGTGCATTTAACTTAAATAAACACCAGTGACCATTTACTTAGAGGAGGAACCTCAGCTCAAGGTGGTTGCATGAGGAGGCATAACGGCGATCTCAACACGGATCCGGAATTTGACCTTGTTTGGGACTTTTGTCCCAAAGGCTCTTAACTAAGCATCCCAGGATTTCAGACATGTGACTGTGCATCTAGAATTATTTACTCTGATAATTGGATATCGCCAAGCTCCAGTAATTTCACGAGGTCTCGCTGATCAAATCGGCACATGAGCCAGCACAGCTGCCGATCCGTTGAAAGGGCAGATGTTTTTTTTTTTTTGTCCCTCTTGTGATTCATCATCGATGTCAATAACGACAGGCGCGACCAAAGACGTCCTCATGGGGTTTTAAAAGAAGTGTTCGACATTCGTGTGGGGTTTTGAATTGAAATAACCATCTTGAAGACCACTCGGTGCAATTCACACCCCTGCTCTTCCTGAGACCTAAACCCCTAAGTTTCTGGGCTAAGGGCCCACGAAGACGTGCATACTACTTAGTGTAGACTATTTCAAGGTTACTGAGGCATCGATGAAGCCGTAATAACGTCCTTGAAATCCTACTATTTTCCTGGCCATGTGGCGTTCAACGTCAATAAAAATATTGTCCAGTCGTTCATATCTGGCGTTCGTGGGCACGTTTTCTAGATTTAGCGTCGGTCAATTGGCTCTTAGCCAATTTTGTGTAAGCTATACCAGATTTTAAAACAAATCACGTTGTGTGCTAAATGACACAAGGAAAGAAGACATTCTTCGTAGCAGTCACGGAGCGAAGATCCTGTATTGGAATAACTTAGAGTAGTGTCATAACTGAGCATATAAATGCAAGTAAGCAACTTTAATTCACGGAGAAAATGGGCAAGAACACCACGAAAAAGGAACAAAACACGAGCACTTAACGACGTTTTGTTAAGCACACATCACTGCCGTGGGCTTATCTCTCGAAAGATTGCAAGGCTTCAGGTGAGTGCTGTCATAAAGGAGGTCC